GGGTCCTTTCCTTGGACTAAACATTCGCAGAGATTGTTCTGATCCCATATGATTCCTTGTTTTGTTTTTGTGGTTGTTTGTTTGTTTGGTGTGGGGAAGGGGGTTGCGGGGATTGTTTTGGGTTTGTTTGTTTGTTTTTGTTTTTATTGAGTGTTGTTTTTTTTTCCTCCTAGAACTAAACACAGAGTCACTTGCACCGACCGATTGTTCTGACCCGATATGATTCCTGTGTTTTGTTGTTGTTTGTTTTTGTGTTTGTTTTTGATTATGTTTGTTTGTTTGTTTTTTGGGGTATATTTTTTTAGCTTGTTTTTTTAGGGCGGGGGTGTTTATGTTTTTGAGCTAGTTTGTTTTTTTATTTTTGTTTTTGTTTTGTTTTTTTAGTGGGGGGTTTTCTCTCTCTCCTAGGACTAAACGCTCGCACAGACGTCTTGTACCTCCTCCCACCTCTACGGGCCAGCAAGTACGACCAAGATCGCGCCTTCACGCTAGTCACTAACCTGTACAAGATGAAGAGGAAGAGACCGGACCTGTTCCAACATCTGAAGCCGTCGACCGTTCGTGACGTCATCGACAGGGGCGTGTGTGAGGTGCTGGAGCAGAGAGACAGCGAGGGGTGTAGGGTGGTCCTCATGAGAATAGGTACCGTAATGGGTTTCATTGTTAGGGTTAATCAAGTAAAGGGAATACGTAATGGTCTTTATGAGCCATGATTTTGTGTAGGCAAAAGTAATAGTCATTATGAGGGCCATTATGTTTATGAGTTAAGTAACGGTCATTATGAGAATAGGTAAGTACTGGGCATTGCTAGGTTTAATTAATTAAGTAATGAGAGTAAATAGTGGTCCTAATGAGCCATAATTTTGTGTAGGTAAGAATCACTATGAGAGTAGATATTGACCATTATGTTTACGAGGTCATTATGAGTTAAGTAATGGTCATTATGAGTTAAGTAATGGTCATTATGAGTAAAGTAATGGTCAATGTGAGGGTAGGTAATGGTCATTATGACGGTAAATAGTGATCATTATGAGGTTAGGTAATGGTCATTGTGAGGGTAGGTAATGGTCATTACTGGTCGTTATGAGTTAAGTAATTGTCATTATGAGCTTAGATGATTGTCATTATGAGGTTAGGTAATGGGGATCGATAATGAACATGTTGAGGTAAGGTAATAAGTGCGGGGGGGTGCTAACAGTCAACATATTGAGTAAACGCTCAAATATTTAGGCCCGAGAGCAGTCATGGGCAAACTTCAAAAACCAATAATTTCTTCAGTCTGGTCCACGATTCTGCACAGTAATAAGATAAGATAAGATAAGATAAGATAAGATAAGATATTTATTTTCAAAATCCTGGCACATTGGTTTGATTTGGTGTTTCATCTCACGCGCGCGCACACGCTCACACACACACACACGCACACACACACA